CACCTCCGTTTCCCACGGGTCCTGTGGCCGAGTGGGAAAGGGCATGGACTCACAGCCAACGACCCCGAGCTCCATCCTGACTCAGGACTTACGAGGGATGGACCCGACACGTTCATGCTCGTTAAAAAGGAACTAACATCACCACGTCAGAGGTCACTAGAGATTTAAGGGAGTTACTGTATCATCACCCTCCTCCCAGGCCTCTGTGGAGAGCACAGGAGGTGCGTGGGTAATACTCCAGACAGCCAAGGCCAGGGAGTGCTCGCTACAGCTCTGCTAGCTGCACCGCACCCCTGCCCAGCTGGGTTGCTGAAGGCTCGCTTCACCCTCAGGGCTTCAGGCTAAAGAAACCGAACATCCACCTACGTCCTGCCCGCCCTCCACTGGGTGAAGCAGGCCCGCACCTCCTGAGACCATTTTCCCATAGGTCTCCAGCATGAGGTCCCAGTAGTGTTCCTTCTGAGTAGAATCCAGGTGTCTCCACTGCTCCTAGAAAAAAGACAACACTGTGACTTCAAGCGTGGAACCAGAGGAAGGTGTCAACACCGTCTTCCCAGAGAAGGAAAGAATGCATCTTAGAACACTGGGCATCATAAATGTAAGAAATCACAGGAGGCAAAGAGCAGTTACAGAGATCTAAATACAGGCATATACAGATGTAAATATATTTATATACAACGTTGGGTAAACAATCTATGTACATATATTTATAGATTTTTTATTAAGGACACAGATGGACAGTGGGTCCCTACTGAAATACTCCCGCAATGCAAGAACACTTTGTTCTAACAATTCGACAGTCTGAGATGCTCACCTTCCTGGCACGATCACTGAAGACAACAGGTGCACAAACAAATGTGGTGAAGAAAGCTGACAGTGCCCGGCTATCAAAAGACATAGCATCTGAGGTCTTAAAGGCCTGAAGATAAACAAGCGGCCATCTAGCTGAAAAACAACAAACCCACATGGAAGAAACACACCAGCCTGTCCCGCCAGTCCAGACTCTATTGCTGAAGACAAAGCGGGTGATTGAGCAAATGCGGTGAAGAAAGCTGATGGTGTTCAGCTGTCAAAAGATATAGAATCTGGGGTCCTATAGGCTGGAAGATAAACAAGTGGCAATCTAACTGAGAAACAACAAAGACCACATGGAAGAAGCACACGAGCCTGTGAGATCTGAAGGCGTTGAAGGTATCAGGACTCAGGCATCAAAGACAAAAAAAAAAAATCATAGCATTGTGAATGAGGGGGAGTGCAGAGTGGGGACCCAGGGTCCATCTGTGGGAAATTGGACATCCCCTTGCAGAAGGACCGTGGTGAGGAGACGACGTAGTCAGGGTGCAGTGTAGCAATGATAAAACATACCATTTTCCT